ATCGGATTAATAAATGAGCGTTGCACAGAAAAATTCAATTAGGCGACGGGGAGCGGCGGCATGGCGAAGCGGCAGCAGGCAATCGTGTCCTGGCTTAACTACCTGTAATTTTTCTACCTTTAATACAATTACACGGCCCGGACACGATGGGCACCTTAATGGGCAACGGAAGTCGCAGCTGCAGCGGATCATTTTTAAGGCTGACATTTTGTGGCTTTCCCTTCGGCAGCTGCAACTACTGCAGAAGCCTGTGGCCCCTCTGATTTATGTCTGCAGTAGTTCAATTGGCAATGACAAAGTTGGCAATCATTGCAGTCGAAATCAATGAAATTGAGAGAGAATGCCTTTGCTTAAATTCATAGACGTCTGGGGAGTTACTTTTCAATTTACCTGCATCAAATATTGTTCCTTATGTCTAGACGTCTTTAAATCAAATGTGTCAATTAATATTTTTTTTAAGTTGTATGCCATTATTGTTATAATTAATTTAGTCTTATATGTTTTAAAATGGATATACCCCTAATGTTTATTAAAATTAAATGTTATTTATTAACTGCTGCATTTTTAATGTCAAATTTATGTTAATAAATAATATGTACCTTCTAGTCAAATCTTTGACACTTATAAAATCTTTACCCGAGCACTCAAGTTGTTAAAATCTCTTGCTGCTTGATTATTTATTTCAAAACACAGACATCGCTTAATCCCTGACTGTCATAAATCACACATGTGTATAAGGACAAAATTGCTCCACTCGCTCGCTCCAAACGTATCGTTTATTCTGGCTTTTAATTAAAATTTAAAAAACCAATTACAACTGCGACAAGATTTAATAACAGCAGCAGCAGCAGCATGGCAGGGTGCGAAAAAATCGGTTAAAATTACATAAATTTTACAGAAAATATGAAGCAGCAAGAAAAAAAAAAGAAAAACGTGAAAAGAGTGTCAGAGCTGAAGGATGCGAGAGTGAGGATGAGGAGACACGAAATGGACATGGTCGTGAACGTGGAAAGGGGGAAAAGGACAAGTCCGGCTCACACATACTTGGAAACATATGAAGGATGAAATTTTTGCGGTTACGCATACACACTCACACACACATACACATTGGGTAAAACATGCACATCAATGTCAGCGAAAGAGAGAGAGCTGAATAGGAAATGGTTCCTGGTTCCCGGGGACGCCAAGATTGGGTTGTGGCTGTTAGGGCTTCCAGGGTCCGCTTGTCAGATGTTGGCACCAGTTTGAGCTTTTCGTTTTGGCGTTTTCCTGCAGTCACTCGACTGATTTAAAATGTTACCGTTATTTATACACGTAGACCAGGCAATATAAACAGCGGGAACAGGAACAGGAGCTGAACAGCAGGAACAGCAGGAACAGCAGGACCAGCTACCGCTTTCCATTTCCCGCAAGACCGAAAGAATATCGCGTATATTTCTCCGTTTTCCCCATTTTTCATCGTTTACGTTGGGCGAGTGTGCGTGCGTGTGTTTGTGTTTTTGTGTACGCTTGTATTGGTTTGTAGCTGCAGGACGACAGCATCCTGCAAGTGACTGACTTGCGACTCGGGTGCAAAACCAGCAGGGGCAGCAAATAGAAGCGAGGAGCTGTAACAACACTTCGCTCCTTCGCTCTTCCTCTTGCTGTTGCCTTTCGCTGTCAAAAGAGATTTTTTCAAATTAACTTTTCATATATTTATGTACGTTTAAAACTTCAGCTCAACCCCTATTTGCCCAAAAGTCTCACACATACAGAACTTTTAGGTAAAGTACATTATGCGAAAATCAGCCAAAAAAAAAAATACTGTATTAAATTTGTAAAATATTTGAAACTAATAAGTTAAAACTTAACTCAAAAAAGTTGAGCAGTTATTGGATGCAGTATATAAGTCGAAAAGAGCCGGATCGGGCAACTATATCGGATAGTTCTCATAGGAAAGATCGAAAAAATAACGGAAAAAAAATATCATTTCAGATAATGGCTCAAAACCAGCACTTGAAAGCCCAGAACTTTTTTTCACATTTTTATGATGCGACTTTTTATATACATATAGCAGAATCTTTATTAAAATTTTAAAGAATGGAATGAACGTTCAGTTGCAATATCAACCAAAACAAATTTTTCAGTTCGCGTAAAGTCAATTATTTTATAAATAAACATATTAATAACAAAGAAATTTGATTCTTTTCTGACCTCTTCAGCAGAATCAATCCTGAAATATATTTCCGCGAAACCATAATCTTAGCAAGCGTTCTTGAAATACCCTTGACGAGGACATTAAATGCGTCACATCGCGCTACACCTCATTTGATTCAAACGCAAAATTATAAAGAAAATTAAAAATGGAAAGCGAAGGGACAGAAACATTAACGAAGAAGTGGAAAAATAAGTGAGTCAAGTCGAGCCAAGGCAACCACTTAAAGACACTTCTTACCTTTTGATGGCCGCCTGCGGCCAAATAAATTACAAAACAGCGACAACAATGGACTGAGCAGAATGAAGGCTGACTGGCACTCGGGAGTTTTGATTGAACACTCGCATCCCAACTTTTGACGTTAATCTTTGATTGGAGAGGGCGACGGCGTTTTCGTTTTCGCTGACACTTCATTATGTGATTTTAATATGAATATACACACAACAATGGTCCGCGAACGAAGGGTAGTTCTTGGCCCCCGCCGATGGAATCTCATTTGGGGCCCCCCAAAAACGTTTGATCTTAATTAGTGTACTTGAACGTCCTTCGCTTCTTCGTCGTCGAGTTCGAGTGTCGGCTTTGCATCAGCGAAAATGACAAAATGTCGCAAATCACTCGGGTTTTGGAAATGGAATGGGGGGTCCTTGATTGGCATCGTTTTCCCCTCCCGATTTCGCTCCTGCCATTGCCTTTTGTTTAAGCGGATTTCATTCGCATATTAATTGAACTTTACACGGCTGCAAAAAGTATATTACCAGTTGAGTATTAATTACAACAAATTTATAAAAATATATTTTTTTTAATTTTCACCACACTTTATATTTAAACATATTTCTTTTTAACCTTTTACAATTATGCCAACCATAACAAAGTTAATACCTCATGTAATTGATATCGAATACTTTTGAATTTTTTTTTGTGGTTCAGAAAAAAAATCAAAGAATTTGTTCAGTGTACTGACAGTAAAGTTCCTAATAGATGGTGCTGGGGTCACTGAGTTCCGCGTCAAAATGTCAAGCACACTGGATAGCTTAGTGTGGGTAAATATTTTTCAATTAAAATCGGCGACTGGCTATTTGCTCAGCACTTTAGCGACACGCATAAAAATTTAGTGAGCTCATGGTCGAAGGTATTCCGATAGATAAAAGTTGGAAGGTGAGGGTGGATTTCATTACGTAAATGAGGATTTCTTCTATTAACAAATAGATAAATGTTCCCTGAACGCCTGCAGTTAATTAAAACTGTGGTAAGAGGATAATGATTAAGCATAATAACACAATACAAATTGAAATCAGTGACAAATGTCCAGTTTAAGCAAATCTAAGCCGTTAAATTTACAATTTTTCTAAACTGCTTACTAGTATTATCGAATCGCATAAGATTATCCGTTTTAAGCGGAAATATGCAAATTATTTTTCCTTGAAAATTAGAAACAACTCTCACAGCGAAGCAATCTTGTCTTTTGGGATAAAAAAACTTTTATCCAAACTAAACTTTTCATAACTCATTTTACAGTTGAACGAGTTCAAATGCCAACTCCCCATGGACACAATATGAAGCATACGCCATGTTATCAACGCTTCAAGCATATTCCAGCCACACACTTAATTACCCGAATAGCCAAGTCGGAAAAAGCTGAAGCTGTTGTGCCATATCTTCCACAAACTGGTAAAGAGCTTGCCCCCCAGAATGCGGTGCTTAACTTTTCAACTGCAGCGGCAAATGGAAACCTCGGTGGCAACAAGAACAACGATCAAGCGGCAAATGCCCTGCAAAGTGTCGATAATTACCTGTAAAAGTTTGAGCCAAACCATTAGCAGCATAATGAGGCCTGTCTACCATAGATTTCCCCAGTCGGACCGAAGCAGCCGTTTCCATCGTGTGCCGCATTTGGAAAATCCCTCTGTCCCACACCTCGAATGAAACTAAAACGAAAAGCAGGCGATTCAAAGGGGGCAAAGGCAGGAGGAAAAAAAATATACCAAAACACAACTAAAACTTTCACCCATTTGAACTTGGAGCCAAGTGAGCGGGGCAGCAGCCGGAAAAGCAGGAGCCAGAGTAAAAATAATGGCAACAACCACACTTGACTGGCGTTGAGTGGTTCATAATTAAAGGGGAAAACCCCAAAAAAGCCTTGAACTCATTCAACTGGCTGTGGCTGCATTGCGTGCAGTTTGGCCCCAAAGTTGGCCAAGTTGCCCTGGCCACACAATTGTTGCACGCACACAGCTCGACCGCAGTCAAGTGGAGTGGAAAAATGCCTATGGGCGTGTCCCCACTCGAAGGCTAACTGCACTTAAAAAATACACATAATAATAATATTTCTTACATTAATAAAAAATAGACGTTAAGATGACATTTCAAAAGAATCTAACTATAAAACCCTGTATGTGCATTGTATTATATCTCATACGAGAATGTTTTCATTTATTTAAAAAATTTTACCGACTTTTTCAAGTGTAGTAATTTGTTTGATTGCATATGCACATATAAAGACATACACCTCCGACACATATTCATATTTTCCCTGAGGCCTGGCCAAGTTTTCCATGGACTCTAATTACCATCTTTGACTTGAGGTTGGCGTGGCCAAAGCAACATTCTGCCTGGCTTAATTTCTTAATACTGCACTTGATTGCTGTTGCCTACTTTTGACTTAAATTCGAGTGCAAAATGATTTAGTGGCATTGTTGAACTTGAAAGTGGTAAGAAATTGGCTGCCAACAGAGCTCTTTAAAAAATAGAAACTGTACAAGATTTATATTTATTTTTTAGACATTACAGCTTCACAAAAAATAAGGAATAATTTAAGTAAACATTTTAATAAATAATATCTAACATTTACTAAAATATTTTATCATTAAATATGCTTTACATACAAATTTTGAAATAAGCATAGCAATTGGTCGAAAAATGTGTTTACCTCCATTAAAGATATAATTTTTCTTATTATTAGTCTGCTTTAGAATAAAACGATAAACTTGCATTGAGATCATTTTGTTGACTTGCCATCGTCTTCTTTCTTTTTGCCCTTTGCATCTTTTTTGGGTTCCTCCTTTCCTTTTTTGGCATCCTTCGAAGCCTCTTTCTTGGGAGGCTCTTTCTTGGTTTCCACCTTTTTCGGAGCTTGTTTCTTACCCTGCTTGGAGAGATCTACCACCTGCTCCTTGACCTTCTCGCCCACGTCTGCGATGAGCAAACCGGCAGCCAAGGCAATCGAAAGGACCACGGCCACATAACCGGTGGCATAGACCTCCGGAATCGTAAGGAACTTATTCAAATACCAAATCAAATGTCGAGTTCCGGCCACCAAATGATATGCAAATGGCACCGCCACCACAACTTTGGTCATCGTCACAAGGGCCTTACAATCGCACTTTTCCACCTCTTTCACAAATCCTTCCATGTCGCCCTGTAGTAGCAGTCCTCCGATTCCAAGGACCCAAACGAAAACAGCCAACACAAAGCCACTGATTCGCAGAAAGGCAGATAGTGTCGAAGTCAATTGGATCTTGTAGATGGATAAATGTGGCGAAAGCTGTCTTCCCAGTAACTCATTGCGATCGTCGTAGGGCAAATCGGGTGGCATACGAAAGGGTATTACTTTCAGGGTCACTGGCGGCACTAGAACATTTCCTTCTGGGCCAATGGTCGTTGGACCACTCGCCTTGACATCCTTTGATGCTTCATTGGCCAGAAGACGAGACGTGTTCAAAGGTTTTTGGCTGAGCAACTGCCTCAAAAGCGGTCTGCTTCCATTAAGACTGCGCGCTAATGGGCGACTTAAAATCATTTTGTTTAATATTTATTTTTAATGTTCTTCTTGACATACTCACCAAGCGTACATTTTAAATAAAAAAATTTAAATAGATCTCTTGTAAAACTGTATTTATGTGTTTAAAGTTTCACTAGTTAAAAGAACAGCCAACTATTTAACATAAAACTTTCAAGGTAGTTACATAAATATGAAAGCTTGTATACAAATATGCAGATCTGCAAAGATTTGTGTGTGTTTGTTGAATTCCCTTATACGCGAATGGTCTGATAGAAAATTCGATTGGTGCTGTAATTCTATTACCTGACGAAGGACACGAGGACCACGAGAATATCCTGTTCATATGGCATAAATTTATGCGACGGTTCGATGAGATAGAATTCGATTTGACGATGGCCAAGCGGTGTTATTAGATTTCTTTGGATTTACCTTCCTACTGATGTTAATCTACCACTCGTTATTTTGCTTTTGCCAATCTTCACTCACTGCCAATTGAAGTTAGCAAAGGGAGAGCCCTAAAAGCATTCCTCAACCGCTGAAATTTAATTTGCAGCTTTTCGCAATCATTTGCCTAAATAAATACGCCACACACAACAAAGAATACGCAAAAACATCTACACACACTCTCAAAATCATTTCGATTTAATAAAATTCATTTGAGCCTTGCGTGGCTGCGGCTTTTCCTTTGCTCGCTTGACACATTTCATGTTCATTTTCGCCTTTGCTCGCTTGAGTTTGAAGTGCTGGAAAAGCAGGGAAAACTTCACGCTCAATTAGCATCTGTTATCGTTGCCTGCGTCGCAAACCGAAATTTATTCTTTGCCACACATCAAAGACATGCACTCAGTCACTCTTTCGTCCATCGATCAATCAATCAATCAATCATTTGCTGGGAAAACATTTCATAAATCAAACGAATACACAAACGAGTACGTAGATATCGGCAAAGCAAACAAAAACACGCGGTCAGGGTGCAGGTAGGTTAATAAAATTAAAATTAATCGAATCAGTAGAATTGTAAAATGAATTAAGGCTTAAAAGAAGCCACGCAAAGTTGGCCTTGGCCGATGCCGGGAAAAGTTTCCCTCCCGCTTCGAGTGTACGGAAAGTTCGTATGAATACGTGTGTGAAAAGCATGCCGAGGAGTCATTAAGCCTATATTGGTGTACTCAATGTAATGATACGGCACAGGCGACAAAAGTTTCCTTTAAAAGTATTTTTGAACTAAGATTTCCTTTCACATTTTCAATCTTTATGATCTTAATTATAGTTAATGTACGAAAATTCTTGATATATTCCTATACCAATATTTTTATATTACGAGAATAAAGAAATTCAAATACCATAGTAATTTAGTTTTTGATAGAACGAATTATTTTTTTTATTTTTCCAAAATATTTTGTAAATAAAATTTTAACAGTGCTAAGAGAAATGTTGTTATTAAACCCAATCTATCCCTTTATTTAAACTTTTTATTGTAGTAATTACTAAAAATTAATCCATAACGCGAGCAAAAAAATATTGTCGCCTGACGTATTAACGTATATTATGAATAAGTTGGTCGGACTTTGTTCACATACGAATGATAAAAATGTATTCAGCAGAAAGGCAAAATCGCAAAAGCAAAGTTTTCGCCTGCCCTTTCTGCAAACCATTTCTCCTCCGTTCTCCTCCTTTTTTGCTACCATACAAACAGAGAAGTCAGGCGATTGCGATTGCTTTTGCCTTTCAAGGAACTCAATATGCGTATCCGTGTTTAATTAAGATTCGAGTTCGTGTCACTGTGTGAGTGCTTTTGCCGTTGTGTGCGTGTCTGTGTCTGAGGCATATGAATAAATGTATGAGCGCATGCATTTAATTTAATTTTCATTTCAATTGATTCGATGACTTTACGTTTCATTTCACGTCTCGATGCGATTTCAATTACAACACTCCCCGACTCTCACACACACACACACACACTCACACACAGACGAGAAGAAAGCGCTTTCACCTACGTGACGGTAGCTGTGAGTGTGTGTGACAAGTTGACGGATTCGCATATTTATTTACATATCCATGCAATCTCAGCCAAGGACAGACAAACGGCGACTTGATAAAGAGTCAATAGCATCAGCTGAGAGCTCGGATGGCCACTATTTTCTTTGCTCAAAGGAATTACTCTTGGTATTAACGATTGGCTTAGATTAAGGTGAATTTGTTTAAATTTATATAACACATTTTAAGGTTCTACTATCGATTTTCCCATTTCGAAAATACTTAATAGGTATGGTTTGATTGGGAATTTTGGACATTTAATTTTTAAGGTTTGTTACTTATAAAGCCTTGAATTATTTTCTATTTTCTGATTGGATAAAACGTTTTTATCGTTTTAAATTACAGTTTTCCCTCACAAGCATTCATGATTCTCTGTCTAATTTTGTTTACATTTTTTTTCTGGTAACTCCTACCTAGTCCCTTTCACTTTTTTAGCTCCTGTGACTATGGATTCACACATAGTCAGGCTTAAAACTTTACCGTTCACCTTTTCCGAGCTAAGCCGAAAGCTGAGCGGAAAAGGCAGCCGCAAAAGTAGGCACCTGACCCACCCACTTTTCCCACATGATTTCCTTTTCGCCAATAAGGCGGCAGGCATTTAGCCCTGCATACTTTTGGGTCTGACATTTGGGTTTGGGTGGCATTGTTACGCATTTTTTTGTGGCACTTTGTTGCTGTTCCAGGGCTGCAACGTGATTTTCTTTCCACATTTGGAAGACTAAGCTTTGGTTTCTGCAACTGCGGCAACACAAAGCCATTTTTTGTCTGGCTTCAGCTTGCTTTTCCTTTTTCTGGCTCACTGTGTGCGCTTTTTTTTGTAACAAATGCAACGGAAAACCTATTTCCTTTGTGGATATGAGTAGGAAAATGCTTGTTAGCGCCGCATTTGCCACAATCTTATATGTGTTAGTGTGTGTGTGTGTATATGGGTGCACAACCTTGAACTTGTTGCAATGGATACGAAAGCTGTAGCTTTCCTGCACTCTTCTTTTTGCCCTTTTCTAACAATGCTAATTTCATTAGAGCAACTAAAAAACGAACACAAATACATCCACACTGCAAGGCAAATGAGAGCAAGGACGAAACGTGGCTAAAATTCAACGTTTCCTATAAAATGACAATTACATTTTCGACAGCAGGGCCAAATAAAAAGGAAACCAAGGAACATCGAAGTGAAAGCAAACTTTTAATTGCGCATACGACAGGTGTGACACTGCCAACGCTGCTCAAGTTGTGCTAAGGTGTATGGGTGTGTGTGGGGGTAAGAGTTTTTGGTGAAAGTTTTTCCAACGTTTCCATCCCAATTAGTAGGCTACAGAAAACACATAAAAACATTTGCAGCTGACAAGCTTTTTGACAAACGTCTCATGACTAATTATAAACATGTTTTTTATAAAACTAAGGGTGGTTCGTTTTAACAAAGGACCAAAAACACTGAATAAAATGTTATTCAATATTTTAATACATATATCGATGAAGGCAGTCCTACAAACATATTTAATTTTGGTTAAAAAAAAAATAATTTAAATGAAAAGTAAAATACAATACTGTTGGGCCAAGTGTCGTAAAAAATATGTTTAAAAATAATATCAACAAATTCAGATTAATATTTTGAAGTACCAGTATCATTAAAATTAAATCTTTATATATATTTTAAAGATTTTATTTAAGTGCAATACGACTTTAATCGACACCTTGGCTACTGATTTGCTAAGTTTTTCTTGCGGTCTGTGCCTTGTCTTAGTTGTCAGTTTGTAAAATTGAATTCTTGCCCGGTTTGTTTGGCTTTTGAGAGATTTATTACGTGGACGCTCTGATCGGGGGTAAAGTGTGGGCCAGAATGGCAATGGCCGCGTATCGATAAGCACAATGGCCGGCAGAATGTGTGTGTCTGTGACAGTTACACACACCGACTGGCACTCACACACACACACAAACACATACAGCAACACCCGTCGGCAGCGACAAACTTTTTAATCAAATTTTTTAACGCAATTTCTTTGACTACTTTTTGCTCTGTTCTCCTCTCTCTTTTTCTCCGTCTGCTGTTGCATATGCATGCTCAATTGTGTTTGTATTGGCAAAGGACATGCTTTGTGATTTATACACACATCACACAAACGCACAACAAAGAGGATGTTGGCCGTGAGGGGTATAGTGTGTGGGGAGGTTTGCTGCCTGTGAGCAAACAACAGCTTTTTTTGATTTATGAGCGCTTTGGGTGCCGCCATCGCCAACGACATCCACACAAAAAATATAAAGAACCAACCAAAACAGCCAAGAATCGACAGCTGAATATATTGAAGGCAAAACTTTGGAACAAGTTCAAACGTGCAAGTCAATAAAACCAAAACAAAAAATTCACAACGTCCTTTTAATGAAGAAAATTTACAAGACTACTTTGAAGATCCTTTAAGAGGTAAGTTAAAATTCAAAGAGCAAAGAGGAATATTTAAGCTCCAAAAGCAAAAATAAGTCTATAGTTGATTTGCAATTAACGTAATCATTTTAAAAATAGCAAAATTATGGGATCTAAAAGTGTCGTTTTGGCAAACCATCGGAAACTTGAATAAATCTGACATGTATAGAGGTCAAAAAATCAGATCAGCAGTATCAGCAGATCGATTTTATCGGCTTTATCAAAAAAGTTTAAAGGTATGCCACTTTAAATTCAGATTTAAATTGACAAAGCTATCTTATCTTTTATAGTCTGTGACAGAATATATTCACATATTTTTGTAAGCAACCTATAATAAAAACTTACTTTCACAATTTAATCACCGATAAATCGATTGCATTGCTAGTAAAATAAATTGTGTAAAAGTGTCTCAGTTATTTTACGGTCGCATATCTTGGTTGGGTTCGCGATTTTTCATGATATTGCCCAGCCAGGTCAGAATTTTTTTATAGCACAGTTGGTGTCTGGGCCTATTGCCTATCGATTTTTATTAATCCCTACTGACAGCAGCAAAATGTTATTTATAAATACCAAGCGCATGAATTTTAATTAAGGCCAGGCCGCATTTGCTTGCCCATCCGACTTGTCTGGCTTGGTTTTTGGATCGCTGGCACGGTTTTGTGTGCAGCTTGAGCCTGGACTCTGGCAGAGCCATTGTCCATATGAAATTTTGA